CAAGATCACGTGCAAGAAGACTGCAAGACACCAAGAGTTCCATCGATCGGGGCAATGTCAGGTTAACTCAAAGCCACACATTTCTGATCTCGTGAATGTTGACTTTTGGGTCTTCTTAGTTGGCTGTAGAGTCTTTTGTATCACCACAATGTCCACTTCATTTACTTGAGATAGACTGTTAGACACCATTCTTCCAAATAAGGAAAGGAACAACACATCAAGTCTTCATCAAACGTATCGCAGAACCCGAAAGCGCAGACCTCACTCTATTTGGGTTCAAATTTTCTCTCTCACATTCCTTAAGATCAATCAAGATGCTCCCAGTTCTTTACACACACTTTGGGATATCAAATAATAATTTTAATAATGATTTTAAACCTCTTCTTACAGTCTCAAAGCGCTTCACAGAATATACTGTAAAGTTAATTGTTTGTATACTTGTGGGCGAAACACAGCAGCTAATTAATTATACACACTAGTGTCCCACAAACAGTCATGGATTGAGTGAGCAAATTATTCTTTTTTAAAAAAATATATTTTTTGAAGGGATTATTATACCGGGAAAAGTGATCCGCCAATTGACTAACAACCGGGTTCCTACTTACTGCTAGGTAAACAGAGGCGTGGGGAGTAAGGAAACTTGCCCAACGTTTCACCCTGTCTGGGAATCGAACCCAGGTCCTCTCACTTGCAAGGCGAGTGCTCTAATCACTGAGCTACATGACTCCAATTTGCCACAATTCTGCACAATCTTATATGTTTACACAAAATGGCTTTACAAACTGAGATAGTCAGTCCATTGAGCTTTTGAGTAATGGTGCAGATTTCTCAGTGTTCTGACAACTACTGTACCACAAACCCATCAGTGCCTGGAGAGTGTGGACACTTTGCAATTTGGGCGATATTGTGCCGTCTTAAAATGTATTATTCAGTTCATTTACATTTCTTACAAGACACGTTAAAACCCTTACAAAGAGTGAGCAGCACAGAGCATCAGTTTCAATAGGCAGCCAACAAGCTGACACAATTTCCATTCCACAACTCACTCTTGTCTCTGTTCAGAGTAGACATGTTGAAGAGACAGCATCCAAACAGCATCAAGAATAATGGGAAATTCCATTATCCCATTATATTATCAAACCTGTATACCTCGGATTTCTCTGTGGGCAACTGGGATTAGAGTAAATAGCTCCAGCGGGGAAGCTAAAACTAGCATAGACATGATCTGCTGTAAGCTTTCCAGGACAAAGGCAAAAGTAAAAACGAAAGCTATTTTTAGGGATCTCAACTGAAGAATGGTCGTTTGTTCAAGGATTTGGAGGGTGATGATGAACGACTGTGGGAATGATTCTCCAGCACAAATCAAAACCTTGGGGGAAATGGACGGGGGGGGAGCAGAATCAGAGTCAGAATCGTGAGTGGAAGTTCAATTATTTTTCAGGCAGGAAGAGGTTTGGAATGTTTTAGTGTATGTTACAAATATTAATCTAGCGATTTAAATATATATATATATACTGTACGTGCAAAGATAATTAGGTAAAGATATATAAAACAGGCTGCTTCAAAGCTGCATTGAGTTCCCTGATGCATTGATCCAATACAGATAGTATGAGCACTAATTGATTGGGCTATTTTGGTCAAATCCGTGGAAGATTTGGCCAGTTTTAAGCACAGTGTGAATATGTGCTTTACTTATTTAGTTACAAATCACAGGTTCACCTGCTATCATATTACGTTCATTTGTATTTAATTTGCAGGAATTTGTTTAAGGCCATTTTCTGTAAGGCCATTTTCTAAAAACGTAAGATTCCACAAAATTGTGGAAAAATTCTGAAATCCAGCAATAAATTCAAAGCAGTTTTGCCGGAGTTCTTACCAAAGAAAGTGACTTCCAAATTAAGATTGAACTGAAGAATTTTCCACAAATCTGCCGGATCTGAAATTTTAAGACAGAATGGTTTCGTGGGCAAAGACGAGGCGAGGTTTTAGGCCCGTTATCTCAAACGCAATCAATGTACAAGGTGTGTCTCCCGACGACACAGTTGACATTTATAAGCGCCTTTCCCATCAGGAGGGCATTTCAAAGCGTTCTTCGGAGCTGCCTGGTGGAGGGGGCGGCTGAAGAGGGTGTGGGGAGGAGGTGAAACGTCTGAGAGTGGGGTGAAAACAGTTAAGTCACGAATACACTTGAATTCAATGAAGCTGCACGATGGAATAAGTACCTTGGACTCTCGAGTTATAATAGGCAGCTGCCACAGTGTATGTCGACACCTGCCAATGTGTCGGTAAAATGCCATCCAGCAGGAACTGCAAGATGAGCTGGAGAAAGGGTTTTCACGCTAATCTTGACCCACTGAACTGGAAAACAATTACTCTGCAATATTAATCTCGAATATTAAGCTTGTCACCTTGATCAACTATAATACAAAAGAATTACAAAGCATGAAATCCTGCACTAGACGTATCATTTCGACCTTTGTCGGCTTTGTTTCTTGTATAATTCCATTATTTCCCATTTGAATAAATCGCAACAGTTATCTCCGATGAAAATGTTCCTATGTGCAACTGATCTGTAACAGTTCGGAATAATCACACAGTTCGTGGCGTTAAGCATTTAATCATTTTAATTCCCTGAATATATTCGCGCGCCAGCCAGTGGCAGAACTTCTACCCACACGTGTTTAACAATTTCAAAGTGATTGTTTAATAATCTGAAGGGGATTTCTTCTGGTGATTTAGCCGACCGTTCCCTGGATAAAATTAGTCATACAGCTCACGGCTGTTTGTGGCGCATTTCCTGTGCACATTCGCCCACAGAATTCACAGTCACTACACTCGGCGGTAATCTTGCGAAGCATTTTGAGCCATCCTCCTGATATGAAACACGCCGTATCAAATGCAAAGATTATTGAAGGCAAGGGAGGGGTGAAACCTGAGGCAAGTTTCCTTACTCCACACGCCTCTGTTTACCGAGCACTAAGTAGGAACCCAATTGTTGGTCAATTGGCGGATCACTTTCTGGGAGTAATAACCCCTTCCAAAAAATATATTTTTAAAAGAAATAATAATTTGTTCACTCAATCCACGACTGTTTGCGGGAGACTAGTGTGTGTAATTGGCTGCCGTGTTTCACCCCAGAAAATACACAGTGAATTCACTTTACAATATACTCTGCGATGCACTTTGAGACATGATAAAGGCCCTATATCAAATGCAAGGATATCATTATTATTATTACGGTCATTAATTACTCTCTATGTAAAAGCACGCTTCCTGGAGTCTGTTGTTAAATTGCCTTTCACAATCCTGAGCCTATGTCTTGACTGTTTGTGTTAATTATCTCCACAAGAGACGACCATCACTGTGTCCCTATTCTTTGGAACTCTCTCCAAAATCCCTTAACTTTGTTCCTTCTCTCCCCGCCTTCAAAAAGCTTGATCATCCAGAACTCTGCAGCCCGCGTCCTCTCCTGCACCAGCCTCCGTGACCCTATCACCCCCGTCCGCGCCCAGACTCCAATGGCTTCCCATCACACAGAGGATACAGTTAAAGATCCTGGTTCTCACCTTCAAAGCCCTCCACGACCTTGCCCCCGTCTACCTCTGCGACCTGCTAACCCCAACCAACTTGCCCGCTCATTCCGCTCAACGGGCTCCGGCCTGCTCCATTATCCCCCGCCTCATCCGCCCCACCATTGGCGGGCGGGCCTTCAGCCACTCTGCCCCCCCCCACCTCTGGAACTCCATTTCACAGTTCCTCCATCTCTCCCCCTCCTTTGCCTTCAAGACTCGTCTCAAGACCCTCCTCTTCAACCGTGCCTTCGGTCACCCTCCTTCCCCCCTGCCATCCACCCTCCCCAATCCCGACCCCCAGCTCGGGTCTGAAACATTGACTGTCCAGCACCCTGGGACGTCCTCCCAATGTGAAAGGCGCTAAACAAATGTTATTTTGTTTGGTTGTTTGTTTAAAAACATTCTTATTGACTAAGCATTTGGACAACACCCTTAAAGAATTATCGCCTCCTCACTGCTTGAATCTCCTTATTGTCCCTGCAAAGTGGTTCGAGACATGGGTGCAACCCATAATATGAAACGTCCTGTGCAAGTCAAAGTTGTTATAAGTGTTTGTATTATTCTGCACTAATCCTGGCGCCCTCTGGTACTGCTGGGAAATTGAATGCTCAGTGACGCATACTGTGCTCGGTCACACGCCAGTAATTTGACTTTGAATATAATTGGACATCGCTGCACATAAAACAAACAGGGAGAATAAACAATTCCAAATCAATCTTCACTTCCTCAAACAAGAACAGAAGTCGCTGGGAACGAACACTCAGCAGGTCAGGCAGCATCTATGGAGAAAGGAAAGCGAGTCAAAGTTTGGGGTCATGGGTGTTGCGTATGATACTGGGCAACTTGAAGTGAACTGAAGGCACTAAATCTAAGCTCCAAATTTAGGTGACACTATAAATTGACAGTGGATTGCTCCTGTGATGTAGAATTCATCCAAACCCACCAGTTGGATTGCTGTTATTCACTTAACACCCATCAGGAGCAGTTGTATAGTACAATACAAATTACAATACAATACAAATTTACATTTATATTGCTCCTCTGGCTTGACACTGTGAGCAGCATACAATATTGTTAGCTGTGTCAATATTCACTTCACGATAAATTCTGCAAAGCGTTTTGAGATGTCTCGAAGAATTGATAAGGCGCTATATCAAATGCAAGCTTTATGATTATGATTATTATTATTATTATTATCGATTGCACCCTCCCACATTCATACAAATTAAGGATTTCACACTGCTGGGGTGAATTTCCCTGGGAAGCAATGATTGAAGATGGCTGGTCTTGCAGTCAGAGAAAGGTGCAAAACTTTTCTTTTAAATGACTCGACTAAAATTAAGGAGTTTTTCTGTTACCCTGAGTTTTGAACCGTAAAGATAAAGTGAGATTGGATTAGGCACTGAAGCGGTAGGAGGCAGTGATAGTTCACTGTGTCGCAGCGCCCTCTGCAGAAAACTGCACCTGTAATAGCAGAATAGAGAATTAATAGAGAATTATACGGTCCTTTACCTCTTGAGCTTACAGCTGCGTAACAGAAGACTTTCATCTGTAATGTTTTCAGGTCAAATTTTTCTTCTCTCTAACATATTATTAGATTGCGTTCAGCCGAACTCCTCCCGCTCTCTGGAACTCCATCCCGGAGTCCCTCTGAATCCCTCTCTCCCCTCTTTCAAGGCACACGTGAATTCAGAACAAATCTACTTCGGTGAGCGAGTAATAAACTTCTGGAACTGGCTCATGAGGGAGAGACAGTGGAAGCGGAAAATGTCATTCGTTTCAAGAACACATTCAGCATTCAGATAGATTTCTGCTGGAAAATAATACGACGTGTCAAGCAACTGCCAGGGTGGTGGAAGGCAAACTAGGCGGACCTCGGTCTTCTTTCGCCCAGCAAATTTGGGTTATCTTTCCCCTGCTCACCCCCCTCGATCCCACCTTCCTAGTCTCCCACTTCCCTCGGCTCCCACCCCCAGCTTTGGTGCTCAAGCAGCACCTGAGACATCCTCCCAACGTGAAAGGCGCTATATAAATGTACGACAATGATAATAATCCTTGATATAGCGCCTTATCACGTCTTCGAGACGTCTCAAAGCCCTTCACAGAATATGCAGAATACACAGAATATCACATCCCTCAGCATTACAGTGGCGTGTTGGCCTGGACTGTGAGTTCAACATCCCGACGTGGGGCTGGGGCTTAAACCTTCAACCTTCTGTCTCAGAGGCGAGGGGGTCACGAACTGAACAATGTCGAACTTCAGTTATTTCGGGGGAAAATCACAGCCATCTACACATAATAAAGTAGCTCTATTGATTAGCACACTGGAGTAGAGGAGACTATTTGCGCTGTACGTTCCCGCTAACGGTTAGAAAGGATCATCCACAGGCCGCATCACAAAACATGCAGGAGATACGATACCTAAAGAGGCACAGACCCCCACAAGGGTCAGGAGATGCTCCCTCAAAATTCTCCTGATCTATTGCTCCCCCAAACCCTCCCCCACCTTCCTCCCCGACACCTCCACCCTCCTATCTTCTCTCTCCCTCTGCTCCGAACGCCTCTTCATCCTAGGCAACTTCAACCTTCACTTCACCCCCACCTGCTCTACCTCTGCCGACTTCTTCTCCCTCCTCTCCTCCCTCAACCTCTCCCTCCACATCCACTCCGCCATCCACGTCCACGGTCACCCCCTCGTCCTGGTGACCACCCGGGCCTCATCGCCTCGGACCTCACCCCCACTGACAAAGCCATCTTGGACCATTACTTAATTTCCCTTATCTCCTCCATCTCTCTCCCCACCGCCACCCAACCCACCTCCATCTCCTACCACCACTGGAAAAAAAATCTCCCCTGCCCTCCCTCTCCCCTGCCTTGGAAATCATCTGAACTCCTCCCCCTCTGGGCTTCCTCCCACGACACGATGGGCCGAATGTCCTCCTTCCGTTCTGTACAATTCTATGATTTTAGGAGAACATCCAGGCCTGACTATGCAAACTAACTGCTTGATGACCTCCCCAACTCCTCCCTCCGTCAAATGCAAAGAAAAAACAGTCGTTACTGTGGCCTTCAAATGCGGAAGCACCTTGATGATTTACAGAACTCTTGTCTGTTAGTTAAACAGGAACAGGCGCAAGGAGCCTGGGGTGGGGGGAGCGGGGGTGGGGGGGGGGGTATATTCTGTGAAGCGCTTTGAGACGTCTCGAAGACGTGATCGGAGGCTATATTGATTATTGGTTATCATTTATTATTATGTTACAGGTAATGGAAATTGCTCTTCTCAAGCATTTTCTGGCGGCAAACGTTTGCGGAGATAACCTGAGAGCGGATTGTTTGCCCAAACATTGGGGGGGGGGGGGGGTGGGGGAGAATGAGAGCCAGTACCACGTCTCCGAGACGTCTCAATGCGCTTCACGGCATATCCCGCGAAGGGAATCGACCGTCTATTTTGCGGGCGAAACACGGCAGCCGATTGCGCACGGCAGCGTCCCGCGAACAGTCGTGGACCGAGCGACCAAATTATTATTAGTAATTGTTTTTGAAGGGATTATTACCCCCCCCCCACCCCACATCGCCGAACCAGAATCAACGACGCGCTCACCGAGAACGGCGATGCATTCCACCGCGGTCTGCCAGTTTTTGTAGTTCTTATCGAAGTTATAGAAGAGTCTCCTCATGCAGTCCTGCAGGGCGGACGCGCGCCGCTCCTCGGCATTCAGCATGGCCTCCAGCATCCCCTCGATCTCCTTGGTCCAGTAGCGCTTGTAGCCCTTCTTGGTGGACTTCAGCTCGTACTCCTCTGGCACGTGCCGGTCGGCCACGCTCTCGGGGATCTCCAGCTGGTAGCGGTTCTTGGCCGTGCCCCAAAAGGCCACAGTCTTGCAGCCGAGCCGCTTGCGCTGCTTGTCCAGGTAGTCCTGGAGCCGGCGCTCGGTCTCCTTCATGTCGGCCAGGGCCTGGTCGTACTCGGGGTCGAAGCCCCCCCGGGGAGTGATCACACCGCTGTATTTGGCCTTCTGGTGGTCAAAGGCCTCGTCCCACCTCTTCAGCTCGGCTGACAGGTCGGGGAAGAGGCCGTCGCCGGGGGGGTCGCCCTGCAGGCTCAGCGCCCGCTTCAGGAGCTTGGACTTGAAGTCCCCGACGGCCGGCCCCAGGACCCCGAGGATCTTCTGGAAAACCTTGAAGCCGTCGAGGGTCCAGAGGAAGTCGGCGATCTTCCTCTTGCTGTAGGTGGTCTCCTCGTACAGCACGGCCCGGCTGTCCGGGTGGTCTTTGCTGGGTGGGGTCCCGATGCCATGGATCCGGCTCAGGAGCCTCTCCAGGTCGGGCACCCGCCGCAGGGCCTCGCCCACCTCCGTCACCTGCCCGGGGGCCGCCATCAGGTCCTCCACGGCGTCCAGCCGGTCCGCGATGGCGGCCGGGTCGGCCAGGGGGACGCACAGCCACTGCCTGAGCAGCCGCTTGCCGAACGGCGTGTGGCAGCGGTCCAGCCGCTCCAGCAGACTGCCCTCGGCCGAGCCGGTGCTGCTGTTGCGCAGGAGCTCCAAGTTGCCCAGAGCCACGCCGTCCAGCACCATGTGGCGCCGGGTCAGGGGGGCCGGCCCCCCGCCACCGCCCCGGGCAGCTCCCGCTCGCTCCCCCTCCGCGTCCACGGGCACGTACTCCTCGAAGTTCCCCATCGACAGCAACTCGCGGTCCACGAGGCACCGCTTCAGGTAGAAGACGCAAGCCCCGAGAGCCGACAGGGCCAGCTCGTAGCCCTCCCCGGGCGTGAGGCCCAGCGCGTCTGTCGGGGATACCATCCCCCTGATGACGTGGGGCAGGGCCTCGGGCCCGTTGCCCGCCCCGAAGTAGTCCTCCTCCGCCAGGGCCCTCAGGGTCTTCGGCCCGTCCCAGAACTGGCTGCCGGGCTGCAGGCCTTCCTGCAGGGCCCGGGTCAGGGCCCCCTTGAGGATCTTCCCGGCCTCGGCCGACAGGTTGCCCCTCTCGTATAGGACCTGGGCCGGGCAGCGCTGGGCCAGCAGGGTGCGGAGGCGCGAGCAGTGGCGGTCATCCCGGAATTGGCCCAGGTGGAACCGCCCGAGAGAGGCGTCCACGAAGCAGACCCCGTAGGCCCGGGGGCAGCCCGGGGCCCCCTCGTCGGCCTTCTCCTTCACACACATGAGGTAGTGGCTGCGGCCGTCGGCCGGCTCCCCGTCCAGCACCCCGTAGGTGCGGGTGCCCTTGGTGATGACCCGGCACACCTCGCGCCGCACCACCCTGTCGAACTTGGTGGGCCGGACCGTGGCCTTGCACCGGACCTCCATCATCTCGGGCGTCTCGGTCTGCTCCACCCGGGCCGCCTTGAACCCCCGCTGGACCAGGGCCTCGGAGAAGCGGCCGAAAGCGATCTCGGGGAAGCCCGAGTGCGCCCAGGAGCCCCTCATGAAGACCAGGCCCAGTTCGCTCACCCCGGTCACGGCGTCCATGTGGTACAGTTCGTAGAACTTGCCCACCTTGTAGAAGAGGACGGCGTCCAACATCTGGGCCTTCAGCTCCCACCACCGCCGCATGCCGGGCGTGCACCTGGACAGGAAGTCGTCAGGCACGTGCAGGGTGGTGGGGTCGTAGTCGGGGTCGGCCTCCTTCCGCCTCTCGGCGTCCCTTCTCTTCCCGGGTTTCAGCCACTCCAGCTTCTCGTGGTCCCATTTCTCGGCTTGGCCGGTGCTCGCTGGTCCTCCTCCTGCTCCTCCTCCGTTGCTCTGGCTGTCGAATGATTCCGGGGCCGAGAAGCCGGACAGCCTGGACTTGGCGCCCACGGCCGGCGCTCTCTTTGGGGTCTCCGAGAGGGCGCACGGCGCTTGCCGCCCCACGCTCCGAGGGCCGGGGGAGCCGCGCTTGCGCTTGAAAGGAGCCTTGACGGGGCTGTCCTGGTCGGGCTCGGACTCGGGCTCGCTGATCGGCCCCTCGTCCGCCCCGCTGCTGCTCTCCTCGCTGCTGCCCTCCTGCTGATCGGGCTTGAACTCGTCCTCCGAGCTGCTGGCCTCGCTGTCGGGGATTACTGCCCACGACATTGGGAGAAACTCCATTCTCTTTTCAAGTACGACAAGAGAGTTTCTCTCAAGTGACCTGACCAACAATCCCCCAAATAAAGTTAGTCACTCACTTCATAGCTGTTTGTGGGACATTGTGGTGCACTAAATGGCTGTCACTTTCACCTACAAAAAGCCCTCCAAAAATTGGCTTAGGCTTAAAATAAATTGCCCATTCACCCCCCCCCACCCCCACCCTCTGCCAAAATCGAAACATTTAGAAGTTTTCCCCATTGCGGAGGCGAGATTCACACTGAAATCTCTCTCTCTCTCTCTCTCTAGCTGTGCTTGATGAGTTGCAAACCTTCAAATCACCGGGCACTATATCAGCATCGGCGACTTTCTGCCAGCAGCCAGATCTCATCCGAATGAGATATTGTCGAAAGGACGAGCTACACTTATAAGACTGAATCAGGGTGGGTCCAACCTTTTGGCTGCTGAGGGCCGGATGCCCTATTCGAGAAACGGCCGCAGGCCCCACAAGTAATATTTTGGCATTTGCCTTCCAGAAACAGAACAGCAACATTCACGGGTTACGGAAGGAACGGGTGGGCCGGATGCGGCCCGTGGGCCGCCAGTTGGACTACCCTGGAGTAAGTCACGGCCTGGCGTATTTGCCTCTTACCTGCATACAGCTTGATATACTTGACGCTCACCCAACCCCTTGTTGGAGGATCATCGAAGAACTGGACGTGGACACGGAGGGATTTCCCTTTGCCCCGCAGGAACTCATCTGTGGTCGGGTGGTCGTACACGAGGCTCGGCCACCACGGGTAGCCTTCCAGCTTAGCCCACACCAGGTCCCCTGGAGAAAACTCACACGACTGACTGTCCGAGAGAACACAATTTCAAAAAAAAAAAGTAAAGACACGGTCACAACATTTCTCAGCGCAGATTTACTTTCATTCACTGTGAGGTAGTGTCAGCGCCACAAACTATCTCAAAAGCAGCGTTAACCTGCACAACCCCATCCAGATATTTTCCCCATCTACAGAATACGTACACTTATATTAATTGGCCAATACCTGACAGTCCCAACGATGCAAAGCTTCCCCCGGTACTGCACTGCGATGTTAAGATTGAATTACGAGCTCAAATTCTCATGTCGGGATTGAACTCAACCCTCTGACCTGAGGTGGGAGTGCCACCACCAACTGAGCCAAAAAACTAGCACACTTAGGTAGAGTCCTGCAGCGCGTTGGTTAGCGCACTTGCCTCGCAAGCGAGAGGACCTGGGTTGGATTCCAGGATGAAACCCGAGGCAAGTGTCCTCACCCTACAAGCCTCTGTTTACCAGAGAAGAGGAACCCGGTTGTAAGATGATGGGCGGATCGTTTTTCCGGCGGTAATATCCCTTAAAAAAATAATATATTTGGTCATTCAATCCACAACGGTTTGTGGGACCTGCTGTGCGCAATGGCGTTTCGCACAACATACTACGCGTTTACGGTATATTGTGTGAAGGGCTTGAGACGTTAAAGCGCGATCAAGATGCGATATCAAATGAATGGATTATTATTGTTTTGCGCTTTCCAGGTTGGACTAAAGGGAGGGACAGGAAAGGCAAAATATCTAAGAGTTAGAGAAGCAATTTCACAGCGGATCTAAAACGCTTCTCAAAGATGAAGGTCAGAAGCTTTTTGCTTCCCTATTGGATTTAGTTCCAATAAAAAAATTTTTTCCCCACACGACTAATAAAATGCAGCTGCAAGTCAGATCAGGTCAGAGGCGCCATTCCCCTCCATAGGTAAATACAGCTCTCCCTCTCCCCAGGGCTGGGGGGGGGGGAGGGGGTAAATACAGCTCTCCCTCTCCCCAGGGCTGGGGGGGGGGGGAGAGGAGGGGGTAAATACAGCCCCCCCTCCCCAGGGCTGTGTGTGTGTGGGGGGGGGGGGGAGAGGAGGGTAAATACAGCTCTCCCCCCAGGGCTGTGTGTGTGGGGGGGGGGGGGGGAGAGGAGGGGTAAAATCAGCTCCCCCCTCCAGGGCTGTGTGTGTGGGGGGGGGGGGAGAGGAGGGGTAATACACTTCCCTAGGCTGGGGGAGGATACCCCCCTCCCGCTGTGGTGTGGGGGGGAGGGGTCCGCCCCCCTCCGGTGTGTGTGTGTGTGGGGGTGTGTGGGGGAGATTAACCCCTCCCCCCCACTCCCCGCTGTATGACCCCAGGCCTCACCTGGCTGAGGCCGGCGCCGCCGCCGCTGTGGTGCGCTGGTGGTGGTGGTGGGGTCGGCGGTGGCGTGTGGCCGTGTCTTGGCTCTCGTGGCCGGGCTGCGGGCGAAGGGGGAAGGGGCGGTGGCGGCCCTCCGGGCCGGGCGGGGGCCGGGGGCGGGGGCGGCTCTTGGTGCCGTTCTGCTGGGGCTGGACCCGGGGTTTCTTGGCAGAAGCGGGTCCGGGCCCCGGGGAGGGGGAGGGGGTGGAGGCGCTGAGCGGTGGGGACTTGGTGAAGAAGCTGAAGAGGGTTCGCTGTTTGGCCATTGCAGTCGGACAGCGCGCGCGCGGCTTCCGGCCCCGGGGCTTTTGGCGCTGGCGGGAAAAGGGGACCGGAAGGAAACGCCCCCAACCAATCAGAACCGGCCGCCTGACAACCCCTCCCCCCGCCGCCCTCCCCCCGCGCCAAACCCCGCCCACCGCGCAGCACCACCCGCCCCAACCGCCAAGG